GTCTTTAGGTTCTGCAGAAGCCTGCCAATCATTCATTCATTTAAATCAGGTGTGCCAAAGCAGGGAAACAACTAAAAACATGGATAGTGGGTCACAAGGACCTTAATTGAGAACCACTGCTTTAGACAGTGTGAAGGGCTGAAGGAACTGTTCAAGGTCCTGAAAGTGCTGGGATGTTTCAGGACCTTGAACTCTCTGAAGGGCTGAAGGAACTGTCCAAGGTCCTGAAAGTGCTGTAATGTTTCAGAACCTTGGACTCTCTGAAGGGATGAAGGAACTGTTCAAGGTCCTGAAAGTGCTCGAATGTTTCAGGACCTTGGACTCTCTGAAGGGCTGAAGGAACTGTCCAAGGTCCTGAAAGTGCTGTAATGTTTCAGGACCTTGGACTCTCTGAAGGGCTGAAGGAACTGTTCAAGGTCCTGAAAGTGCTCAAATGTTTCAAGACCTTGGACTCTCTGAAGGGCTGAAGGAACTGTCCAAGGTCTAAAAGTGCTGGAATGTTTCGGGACTTTAGACCAGTGGTTCCCAACCTTTTTAGTCTTGGGTACCCCCTGAGCCATTTTGTCATACCACTAGTACCCCTTCAGTCAAACATAATGATGGTTCTCCAAAACTGTATTGTACAACAACTGATTATTGATTATTTAACCCCCTAGAACGTTAGATTCTCATTTTATTTTTTCAACACAAATTAAACATAAAGATAAAAAGGTTGCCTTGAAAGTGAATGAGTAATTAAATGAATAAACCAGATAATGGCAGGTGCAGAAAACAGGAGCATCAAATATGTCAGAAACTCACCCAAATGAGTAAAATCCATGAGATACTGGATTCAATTTTATGTTAATTCTGTGATTCTGTCTGCAATTTTCCCACTGTGGAAATCATAGGGCCCTACTTATCTCAGTCCTATTTTTTTAATATTTTACACACCTGGGAAATTTTTCCACGTATCCCCTTTAATGTGCTTGGTACCCCAAGGGTACATGTGCCCATTGGGAATCACTGCTGTAAAAAATAGACGAGTATTTGTGTTTGTGTGTAATTTTCATGTATGGTAGAGAAAAGTAAAAATAAAAACGAGTCAAATATTCTGAGAACAGTAACTAGAATCACTTCAGCTGAAATGATCATCTTCAGGTTTCTGACACAGTTTCCTGTCGAGCTTTTATTCTCAAAGTCTCCACCGGAAGTGCTGTGTGTGAGCGCTGTCGGTGGTCTGATGGTGGTCCGCATCTGACCGAGCAGGAATACGGAGTTCTGAACGTTTGGGCCCTGTTCTCCCCCCCGCCCCCGCTGCACCGTGAAGAACCGTTTCTGGCTCATCATCCCGGGTCACGTCGCTCGGACCRGGCGAGGCGTCCTGCGGTGTGGGTCGGGACGGATCGGGCCGACATCACGGACCGTGTTTGTTTTGTGAGGCAGAATGAGGCTGGGGGYGGAGAGTCGCCACAGAGACGCTGGGCTCCGGCCAAACGTCTCCGCATTTTAGCGCCTCTTCCTCCTCCATGCTCGGGATTCTGCGCTGAGCTGCTGCTGTCGCAGACCGAGCGACGCTCCATCTTTTGTGTTCGCGAGGAGCTGAGAGGAGGATGCGGGCTGTCTGAGCCGAGGACCCCCTCCTCCCCCCCTCCCTCTTCCTCCCCATCATCCATCGCTGCCATGACAGGCAGATGGTTCCTCCGGAGCTTGGCTCAGTGATTCGGGACGCTGGCTCGGATCGTGTCCGTGGATCCTGTGAACAGCCTCCGCGCTAACGCACCGTGATTCTGACTCAGGGAGGGGGGGCATCCGAAGGAAAACATGTCCTCCAGATCTGCATTACCGTCTGCAAGTGACAGGAGCACCGGGGAACATGTAAGTGTGTGTCTGTGTGTGTGCGTGTGCGTGTGTGTGTGCGCGCGTTCTGCAGACCGGGCCAGGACCTCCGGAGGTGGCCTTCCTCTGCTTCATCCGCTTCATCCACGGGGTGTGTGTGTGTGTGTGTGTGTGTGTGTGTGTGTGTGTGTGTGTGTGAGAAACAACCCTGTCAGTAACATAAGCTTCTCTCTGAGGCTCAGCCTGAATGATTGACAGCTTGGGTTTGTGCGTCAGAGACTCGACACGTCTGTCAGCTTGGTGCTGCAGACCCTCTGTGAAGCAGTGTGTGTGTGTGTGTGTGTGTGTGTGTGTGTCTTACTTTAGCGTCTCGGCTAAGTAAAAGCTCTGCTGCACGTCGTCGTGGTTCGGCGATGAAGCATAGACGTCTCTGACGCCGCTGTAGCCTCCTTCTACTCTGCAGTGCTTCTCCAAGGCCTGACAAACACACAGACACACAAACGAGAGGAAAATGGTGCTGATTGGTCCAGAATGTGACATTTATTCACTTTACTCCTCACTCAGTGTTTTAGAGAACGTAACAACCTTACAGTTCATTGATTTTTGGACTCTTGAGTGTCTTTATTTAACATGTCCAGCTGTGGTTAAATCAAACATGAAGTGAAGTTGTTTCACCTCTAAAGGAAACATGTTTTATTTATTTTACCTGCACAGCCTCCCAGCCCCACTCTCTGTATTTGGG